AAGGAGGTTGTTTCTCGCGGTGATGACTACTAAACTCAAACTCGATTCCCTCTACGCTAACCCACCATCCACACCAAGCTGAGCTAATCGTTCATCGCTCGCCTCCCCATCGACTCTCGCCGGCCGCCCAGCGCGCCCGCCGTCCGCCGTTGCCCGGGCCCCTTGCACCCGCACCGCACCGCTCTCCGCCCCACCCCTTCCACACACAAACACACACACACACACACACACACACACACACACACACACACACACACACACACACACAGCAGATGTCATATAGTCCATGCGATAGCGCCACTGTCTCCACCCCGCCGTCATGGTCTGTGGCCGGTGACGGTCGGTCTACGTCCCCCCCACCTGCTGCCACTTCGTCAGGAGGCGCCAGTCCACGGAGCTTCAACAGAGCCACAAGCCAGTGTGAGAGTCAGGCACCGCGTGCAGATGTTGATGTCCGTACCAATGCCAGAGCAGCTTTCAGGGCCAGTGCCATGGCCACGATGAGTAAGGAGACCGCATCGGGAGGATTCGTGGCTGTCTCATCATCATCGCCTTCTGCGTCGTCATCGCAAGATGTCTCGCCAGATTTGGAGGCATCGCCGCAGCCATCGTGGTCGTTGCAGCCCTCGGATGAGCTTGATGATGCTGGTGGTCATGGTCATGGTCATGGTCATGGTCATGATTACGATGATGGAGTTATGCCGGTCATTACAACTACTGCCGCCAGTGCGGCTGATCTCCAGGCGGCGATGGGCAATGCGTCGCCTGGGCCGCTGTCGGCGGGTGACTTGCGCGGCGCGGGGGAGACGAGGAAGCCGGACACTTTGCATCCGAGGAGGTCAGCAGCAAGAGGCACTCGGCGAGGTCATCGATCTCGCCGCAAGCACCGTCATGAAAGCAGAGGGCCGGTTCCTGCGCCACGACCTCTGCCGTGGCCGCGGGCAGCACCGGCGGAAGAGGACAATGACGAGAGAACCACCCGCAGGGCCCGCCGCATGGAGCGTGCGGTTGCTGATGCCGCGCGCGAGGCGGATGCGACTGCGCAGGCCCGTGCTCTGCCAGCCACAGTCACCCCACTCGGCAGGCTGCCGGCAGGGCGAGCACGCCGCAAGCGCGGCGGCCCTGTGCTCGAGCCAGAGGCCCGCGGCCTGCTGGAGACATATCTTGGAACGGGCATCCGCGATCCGGAGCTGGATGTCATGGCCGAACAGCTGGCAGCGTTTGACCGCAAGCTGGCCCGGCTGGCAGCAACTCGAGCATCGGTCCTTGGCGCCTTCTCCAAAGGCGTTGCGTCGCTCACGGCGCACGACTCGGGCTTCCGCCCGTCGCGGGCGTATTCCGCGGCACGGCAGGTTCGCGATGGCGACGGCAGCTCGGCCCTGCCGAGCTCAGCTGGCTCGCGACTGCGGCTTGTCGACGCCCTCTCGTCTGACTCGTACTACTCGGAGCCTTTGTGGTCGGACGAGCCGGTGTGGTCCGGCTCGTGCGACTCGTCCGACTACGGCGCGTGGCTCGAGGCCCGACGAGAACGCGAGGTTCTGAGCAAACGCCGCCGGCGCCGGCGAACCAGCCACGGTGGTCGCGTGCGGGAAGCCGCTGCTGCCGACCCGGCCACCCGGCGGGCACATCTGCGGCGGTCGTTGGCTGCTGCGCGAAAGCGGCGATCGCCGGCGTCGCCAGCCGGTCGCGGCCGTCGCCTTCCCCGCTTCCCGCGGCATGTCAAGCTTCCGGCGTCGGTCCTAGCGTCGGCAGGCATTTGTCGGTCCGACTCGTGCACCAACTCGGGTTCCGCCACCGACGACGCTGCAGCGCTACTCTCGCCGATGGAGGCGAGACGCGCGGCCAACCGCAAGACACGCCGCGCCCGCCGCGCCAAGGTCCTCGCCAAGGTCGACGCCTTTCTCGACGCTGACTCGTCGTCGTCGTCGGGCATTCACGGCCTGCTTGACGAGCACCTTACTCTTGCCCAGATCCGGGACATTGCCGATGGCGGGCCGCGGGCCCACCGCGCTGTTGTCGCCGCTCGCAGCCACCAGCGCATTCCGCGTCCGCATCCATCCCACGCTCAGATGCGGGCCTGGGCCGACTCAGATTCGTCGTAAGTCTGGCCTCCACAGTAAACAACATGTAACGCTCCTCGCTTCTCCCTCGCCATTCCGGTCGATCGATCAGTCGGCCGGTCGATCGGCCAGTCGGTCGGTCGGTCCATCGGTCGCTCAGGCGGTCGGTCGATCGATAGGTCGGTCCGGACCGAGTGACGCGCGCCAAGTTAGTGGCCAAGTCTGCCACCTGTCGCTGCGAGTAGCTACGGACATGGAGCTCGTACGGTCAAAGCAGCGTGACCCATACCGGTCGTACCGCAAGACCTTTTCCGAGTGTATTGTCAAGCCCTTTCTCATGGGCATGGCAGGTGCCCTTGGCCTCTCTGTGGGTACGGTGACCAGCCGGAGGAGAGGGGGGGTGGGGGGGGGGGGGGGGGGGGAACAAGGGGGGGGGGGGGGGAAAAATTACCCCCTGGGAAGGGGAAAAGGGGATTTTGGGATACCCTACCCCCGGGGGAAATGGAACTTTGTTTGGGGGGGTAGGGGAAGCCCTTTTTTATCCGATCTCTTGGGGCCCCGGCGGTGGAGGCCCCTTGGGAATCCCCCCGGGTTCCTCCCTCTGGGCC